GGAAGGGGTAATCTTGTGAATTACCAGAATGTATCTATCTACATGTGCTCCTGCTTCTAAGGTTTACTTATGGGAAAACAAAAAACCCCACTCCATTCCTTTCTAAAGATAACCCCTTTCTTTGGGTACCAGCTCCATGACATTTAGATTTACTTCTATGATGAGAAACAGTGACCTTGTTCTTTTTCCTTTCTTTCTTCATTTGTATGGAAACTATTTCACAGGTGGAGGTCTTCTTTTAATTAAAAATCCTTATTCAATGGGAGGTAAGAAATCAGAGACAACAGCAAAACATAAATGCAAACAAGTATGTGGGAAAAATTAAATAATGTTTAATTGGTGGATTGAACTGCTTGCAACAGTATCTCTTAGAAGCTCTTCTAATACTATTAGTCAGATAAATTCATGCTTACAGAAATTTAAACTAGGATGAAGATGCTTCCTTGAAACATGTCTGTACTCTCCCCATGACTCTCTAGAAGAACAGAAATCTTTGTCTGCGAAGAACTTCAACATAATGGTGAAGCATGGATGTTTACTTCTTTACCTGTGTTCTTGCCATGAACAGTATTAAATAACCCAAAAGTGATATCTTTCTGGAGATGCTTAATATTTGTAATAACCAAATTACTATGACACTGAGATCATCAATATATTACAATATATTACAGAAATGTAAAAGGAATTATTTTAAAATAATACTTTTTCCTAACAACCTAAGATGAACATAAAGCTGAGTATTTATACTTTCAGAGTTTCTAAAATGCAGAAATTGGTCGCCTTTATGAGTATATTTACAACTGGAGAGGTTATTTGAAATAACTATCATATTTTCATGTAGGTGTACACCATAGTTTATAGCTTATACAAGGCCTCTCATTTCAGAATTGTGAAAATCTGAATGCATCTTCTCCTTTCTTTGCTGTCCTGTTCTGCCATCTGGATGCACTGTAATTTTATGGTTAGCTTTCACTGGAGTGGTTAACAGCAAACCTTGCTGAACATATAGAGAATTAAATATCAAACTTCATGTGGTTATTAGTGAGACACATTTCATACCAATATCTCACTTCAATAGTAAGAAATGCAATAGAAATTTCAATAGAAATGCAATTTTGGTTTCAGAAGAAAGAAATGCACTTAACTCAACAGAATTGCATGAATATTGTAGAGGTGTGAGATCAGATTTTGTTGACTGAATGGAGTTACCATAAATATGGATTTAATCCACACACTCTTCAACTTTCAGGTACTTGCAAGAGATATCTAGGAAAAGACTGATCTGTATATGCATACATTAATGTGTACGAATACAAAAAAATCATAAAATCCTTTGGCCTTCAAACATCAAAGATACAACTGTAAATCAAGCACTGCCATAATAATCTCTAAACCATATTCCCACATGCCACATTCACACATCTTTTGAATATTTCCAGGGATAGCATCTCCACCATTTTCCCTGAGTAGTCCGTTCCAATGCCTGATGACCATTTCTGTGAAACTCATTTCCCTAATATCCAATCTAAACCTCCCCTGTTGTAAATTCATGCCATTTCCTCTTGTCCTGTCACTTGCAGCCTGGGAGAGGAGACCAATCCCAGTTTGGCTGCACCCTCCTGTCAGGCAGCTGCAGAGAGTGATGAGGTCCCCTGAGCCTCCTTTTCTCCAGGCTGAACACCCCCAGCTCCCTCAGCTGCTCCTCACAGCACTTGTGCTCCAGAGCCTTCCCCAGCTCCGTTGCCCTTCCCTGGACACGCTCCAGCCCCTCAATGTCTCTCTTGCACTGAGGGGCCCAGAACTGAGCACAGCATTGGAGCTGTGGCCTCAGCAGTGCTGGGTACAGGGGGACGGTCACTGCCCTGCTCCTGCTGGCCACACCTGGCTGATCCAGGCCAGGATGCCATCGGCCTTCTTGGCCACCTGGGCACACCCTGGATCATGTTCAGCAGCTGCTGACCCGCACCCCCAGGTCTTTTTTCACTGGGCAGCTTCCCAGCTCCTGTCCCCAGCCTGCAGCACTGCCTGGGGTTGCTGTGACCCAAGGGCAGGATGCAGAACTCAGCCTTGCTGAGCCTCATACCATTGGCATCAATGTAGCAATGATGGGAAGAAGCAAGAATGGAGCCAGAGACTACTTTTAAAGAACAAAAGGTTCTGAACTCAAATTTTAAGATATAAAAACCTATTTAAACGTTGAAAACTAGATTTTGGGCTTTTGTTTGTTTGTTTTTGTTCAGAGAGTGGTTCCAGAGAGATTGAGCAGCCTCCATGCTTGGAGATATTAAAAACCTGACTTGACATGGTCATGAGCAATCTTCTATTGATGGCCCTGCCTTGAGGAAAGGCATTTAAGTTCCTGAGGTGGCCTCCCACTTAATCTATTCCCCGATTCTGTGAGTTTCAGTTATGATAAAATACTGACTTCTTATTTGCTTGACCTTGATAGTTGGAGATTATTAATTGGCAAATTAAGAAAACACACCATTTAAATATCATTTATCACCTGTCCCTGTTATCAAAATTAGTATTCAGCAACACTGCCTCTCTTAGCTCAATTTTGTGCCAGAGTTTGGTATGGGTAGAAGGTTGGATAGGAGTGAAAGTATTAGTGATTAATTTATACCATTTACATGGTGTGATCTGAAAATGCTGTGAAAGATAGGCAGAGATTACATCAAATTGCTCTTACCTGCCCCAGGGCTGTTCTAACTTAGGATAAAAAAATAAAACCTAAGCTGTAAGCTGAAACAGATAGATATCCGAAATAAATTATGATATAATCTACTGCTCTCTTTGCTGCAAGGTTACCCCAGTGCCTATAAACATTCCTCAGAGATCCACTCTGTCTGTGTTTAAAAGCCACCAAACATTTCTAATTTAAGGATTTGTAAAGCTGTTTCTTACTCCTCACATCCTCCAAGAACAAGCCTTTAATCTTGTCAGAAGTTTATGACTAAAAAAAATTCTTAACTGAAATTTTTAAAAGATTTCTCTGTGGTGAGGTACTTTAGCCCAGAGAGCTGCTAACAGTCAGGGAATTCGGCCTTTAGTTCAAAAACAAAAGGAAAACTGTTATAAAACCTCTTTTCTTTTTCCTGTAACCAAACCACCACCAACAAAAAAGCCTATTAAATCAAGTATTAAAACTGTAACTGGAAAAATGTTATGCATCTGAATTTTCTTAGCACTATCAGATCAGTTTGATATCTGCAGTCTGCATAATTAGCATCAATAAAGCATCAAATGCTATTTTATACTTATGTGGTTATTTAAATATATGGGATACTGGGCCAAATAGGATCTGAGAATGAAATGATATCTGGAAAACAGAACCAGTACAGGATACAGGATCCTAAACAGCTTCTAATAAAAACAGAACAGACCCTTCATTTCTTTTTTATACATATCTACTGGTGCCAAATCCAGCCTGGATGAATTAGGGACACACAGATCATGTTCCACACACCCACAGAAGATCAAAACACTCTTGAAAGTCACGCAGTGATACTTAGGTGAAGTTTTTCCCCAACAATGGTGGTGCTTGCCTGAAAATTCTGACGTGCCAAAAGGGAGCAAAGTAAAGGGGTTCACTTCTTGCTGAATGGGTGCTCAGGGCTTTATTACAGATTCCTTTGAAATGCTGAGCCCAGAAACAAAGAAAGCCAACCTGTCTTGGAAACTGTATACCAGTACTGTGTCTACTAATACACAGCAAGTGCCTGAGGTTATTCTGCTCCAAGGACAACAGCCACAGGACAGCCCACATTCCTGCCATTCACCTCTTACTCTCCAAGTCATGGTGGGCACATAAATGACAGGTGGCCTCTGCCAGATCCTGGTTCATGCCTAACAATGACCAGGCTGACAATTTAGCAATATAATGATTGTATTTCAGGGCCTGGGAACACTTTTTGACAGTTTTCCCTAATACAGATGTAGTCTATATAGCCCTTTTAAGAGCAAAGCCTCATAATTTGATAACAAGTTACAAACACGGAACTACAGTTCTCTCTTGCTCCTTAGAACATGCTTAAGGTATGGGGGGATGGGATCTGAGATGTAAATAAATGGTAGATTGCACAGAATTGGAATTGTGATTTGGGAATTATAAAGTTACAAATAAGAATGCATGTGATTACATAACTTGAAAATAGATGACAACATGAGAAATCAAACAAAATTTTCAACTCCAGATCTGGTGTGAAAAGTACAGTGACCGTCATCCTAAAGAATCCTAACAGACCTCCTACATTTATACAGCACATGAAGGGCAATTTTGTCAGGCCCTTCAGTGCATGGTTACCTCAGAGCACAACTGTGACTTCTCAATAGTGTTGCTTTATTCATTATGGCTTTGCACTGCCAGCTAAACACCCCTTTGCTTTACCATTTGGTGGATTATTTGAACTAACAGAAGGAAACAAGAAACCCAGAAATGTGTGCTTTGCTCAATTACAGACAAAGATGTTAAACCATAATAATGTTCCCTGCCAACATAATGAAAAACAGTGAAATGTTCACATCCTAAAAAAACCAGCTGCACATACAGGTGTCTGCACCAGATGCTTCCCTAAGCACAGTGTGATAAAAGTGATCATTCCTCACTCAACAGAGAACAGTCCCTAAGCAGGGTATTTAAAGAAGGATGATAACACAGGTAATTAGGAGCCCCACGCTTTACACACAAAGCAATGATTAAGAGGGTAAAGCTTAGAACCATATGTCTTTACATGTGGACCTGTGTTCTTATTTGTGAATTTATCATAAAAATGGGCAGTTTTCAGTCTGATTTCTCAAGTGAGATCCTACCTGGAAACTGATTAAGGATTGAACGACACATCCCTAGTTTTAATAGGTGGTACCTTGCCCTGTGACTCCAACAGGAACATGAGCGCCAGAATGTAACACCTGACTGATGGACTTTCCTATGAGGAGTGAAGGAATATCCTGTCCTTTCCCCAAAGTATGTGTAAGTACGTTCCAAAGTATTTTCCTACCTTTGGACTTCCTGTCATGGTAGCTCCTGCCTCGATAATGGTGGCCACTGTCTGTGTACAGATTCTCAAGATCTTCTTGCCAGGAGTCCGGGTTGAAGTGTTTGAGCAGATCCTCCACCGTGTCAAAGGCGGCGATGGTCTGATCCAGGGCTTCCGCCGTGAGCGTAGGGTCAGTCACTGATGGAGAGGGATAGGATACCCCCTAAGAGTGACATACATCTCAGTGTACTTGCAATAAATTACAGCACCACTTTAAACAACTGAAAACAGTTACTGACAAGCTTGTTTCATTATTGACAGAAACAGTTACTTTGGGCCATCTTTTCAAGTCTTTGGGCCAGGACTTTCTTACACCTGTGTTTTCTTTTTGTAAGACAAGATACCAAGAAATTTCCAAGTAAATCCCAGAAGAGATGCCGGGAGCAAAAGTACTGCCACTGGTGGACTGTGGGTATTCAAATGGAGTCCTCAAAGGGAATGATGGTTTGCATATATGCAAAGATGCAATGAAAATGTCTTTTGAAATGGCCACAGAAATGGAAATGCCAGTTGCTATTTCACATGAGGCAGATCAGAGACCACAGCAGAGAAAGACAAATGCAAAGAAGTCCACTAGACAATCTTTCTCTGGTCAATTTGGACAGCAATTTTGGCATGGCTAGAGACTTGGAAAAATGGCCCTTTATTATCCAAAATTAAATGTATTAAAAAACAAAGATGAATTGACATTGAACTGACATTTTACCAAAAATAAACTTACTAAACAAACAGAAAAAACATGACATTTGGATCTTGGAGAATTTTTATTCTGGGTGAGAAGCTGGACATGACCTGGCAATGTGCTCGCAGCCAGGAAAGCCAATGGTGTCCTGGGCTGCATCCAAAGCAGTGTGGGCAGCAGGGTCAGGGAGGGGATTCTGCCCCTCTGCTCTGCTGAGATCCCACCAGCACTGGGGTGTCAGCACAGGGAGGACATGGACCTGTTGGAGTGAGTCCAGAGGAGGGACACCAAGATGATTAGTGGGATGAAGGAAAGACTATGAGAATTGGAATTGTTCAGCCTAGAGAAGAAAAGGCATCAGGGTGACCTAACTGTCCTTCCAATGCCTGAAGGGAGCCTACAGGAAAGATGAAGAGAAACTTTTTACAAGAGAAGGTAGTGATAAGACAAGGTGGAATGGCTTTAAAATCAAAGAGGGCGGGTCTGGATTAGATTTGAGGAAAAAATTCTTTACTGTGAGGGTGATGAGACACTGGAACAGGTCTGAAAGAGTCTGTGGAAGCCCCATCCCTGACAGTGTTCACAGTCAGGTTGGAGAGGGCTGCGAGCAGCCTGATCCACTGAAAGGCATTCCTGCCCACTGCAAGGGGATTGAAACTAGGTGATCTCTAAGGAACCTTCCAACCCTAAACATTCTATAATTCTACGATCTCAGCAAGGTAAAAATGAATATTTGGATGACTAACGTAGTATCCTCACAATTATAACACCAAATGGAATGCTTATTTTCCACCAGTAAGGACCAAGTACTGTTCTCTGAGTGTTCCCACTGAACTTTGGCACAATTTGACTTTGACAGAAGGATTGCAACATTTTCAGTTTTATTGGAGAGGACTTGAAACATTGTTAAAATTCTTAATTTAGTATCAAAATATTCACTATCCTGATATCACTTTTTCCATTATCTAAGCACAAGGCCGAATAATATGCAAAATATGCACTAGAAAAACTATTAATACAGATCTCTTACTTTTTGAAGAACCACAATCAATTTTGTCCAAAAACAGGCATAGTATAGCACACAAATTGTTTGGTCTTGTAAGTTAAAACGTTGGGGAGAAACCCCTAGAAACCTAAATTCTTTCATGAAAACCCAGCTCTGAAGTAATGCACCAGAAATATGCCAGTTAAAATTGATGGCTTCCCAAAATATTTGTTTTGCCTCATCTCCCAAGTAAATGTATATGTTAAACTATTAATCTTTGTGATTAACTTCACTCAGTTAGGTCAGAATGGGAGGGTCAACTCATTTGAGCAAATTCCCTCACTTTTTTGCAGGATTGTGTCTTTCAATTCCTCCTATAATGGTTTTAAAATATATATACATATATATTTTAAAATAAAACGCTTCTCTTTAATGGTAAGCTGTATCACACAGCTAACAACTCTTCACATATTCCTGCATATGTTTGCTGAAAATATGGACAGTCCAAATTATTAAAAATCAGGGAGAGAAGAAACAGCAAACATAACAGTAGTCCAGTCAAGAAAGCATAGCTGCACTTTACAGCTTAGCACCCATAGCCCAAGAAGTTTCAGTGGGCCCACCTGGGATTGCAGTGCCTTTCTAGTGCAGTGCCAAGGCACAGTGCAGAGGCCTGTAAACATTCATGATCCCTTAAAAAGGAAGGCACACCTTGAAGCCTCTCTCCTGACTTCTACATGGCTGGGACTAGAGACTGTCAGAGAGGTGGAAGTCCCAGCAGTAGAAAAGCTCACAGCAGCAAAGTGAACACAGCATTGGTATTTAAATCAGTGTTGTAGGACAGACTGTGCTGCAGCCAGCATCATGCAGTGTGCTAACACAGGGGCTGGGGTTACAAAAGGGAAAGGCACCTAAATGCTACTCATGGCAGTCCAGTAGGGAAAGACCAGCCCCTGACTGCCTTTCAAAAGTGAGAGATGCTCCAAGAATGCTGAAGAAACGGGAGCATAAAAATCAGTCACAGGTGTGTGGTTTACTCAGTGTAGGAGATTTTTTCCCTCATGTTCAACTGCACATTTCATTACAGAAGTGGAGGTCAAGCTGTGAATATGCAGGGCATGTCAAACTCATACAGGCAGCTGGGATTCCCCATTTTCTTTTCAAATAAAAGCTCCTACTCAAGAGATTCATGCAGCCTTGCTAAAACACAGAAGAAAGCTTAACTTTTTCTCAGTGACAGCCAAATCAAGAGGAATTATTTCAACAGCTGAGATAGCCTCCTGGCAGCAACATCATGTGACAGGCCCAAAAGCAACTTCAAAGCTGCCAACCCAACTGCCTCTCTTTTGTCCTGCCAAGAATGAGGCGCTCGCTTTGGGAGAGTTTGTGCTTGTCATAATCTGACTTCTGAGATCATATCCAAAGAGGGGGCAAGAGGAAATGTAAGAAGCAGTGAGGAGCAAAGATCTTCCACATTATGTACCTCCTTTGTATTTCTTAAATGCACTGAGTACATTTTTAATTTACTGCAACACAAAGGTATCTCTTTTGTATGTGCTCTTGCCCTTAATTTCTGTTCACTCATTCTTTTCACTTTCCTATCTCTATTGTGTGCCTGACAGGCAATTCAATGTACACCACAGTTTTTTGTTGGTCATAAAATTACTTTACATATAATGGAAACTAACCTTATAAGGAGTTAGATTTTATTTCCTTTTTTTTTTTCCTGGGTTTGCCACGATGGGTTAAGGGTAGAAGCATTTTTTTAAACTTTCTGAGAAAAAACCCAAACAAAAAACCAGACCAAAATATAACTCTGTAATACGACCTCAGAGATGGAAGAAAGACTTTGCTTACTCTAAAATTTTTATTCTGAGAGTTGTAATGTGTCTATATCCTAAAATGAGTCTTTTGGTTACTTGTGGGTTTGAGAGAAGAAACTCAGACCTTCCCTGCTACCTGAGCATCAGCAGAATTGTATGTCATCTTGTCCAAGACTCACAGGTATGAGTTTGTCCTTCTGCTTCTCAAGACCATAAAAGAATCCCTGAATCTTTCTCTCCTGAAGAACTTGGATGTCCTCAGACATTTTCCTTGGTGCTTTTGTGAAAAATTGCTCAATCTCCCTGCCTTATTTTCTCTGAGGATAAAAACGACTTGTGGGTGCAATGTGCAGGAGAAAGTATATCTTATTACATAGGGAATGACACGGGAAAACCAATGAAACTGAGGTTCTGCTTCTGGTTTAGCTGTAGGTTTCCACATGACCTTGGGCATCAGCTTGCTACCTGTAATATTTGTATTGAACTTCCTTAGCTGCAACACATTAGAAACAATTTTTAAGGAAAAAAAAAAAGGAAGCAAAAAGATAAACTTGATTTTTCAATATGAAAAGGATACTGGGTTATTGTTTGGTATATTGTGCCTTTTATGACATTAATGATGGTAACTAACATGGCGTTTACCATAGGCTTAGTCTCATTTACATACTTACCTGATGAGGGAGCCCTAGGCTTACTTTTTCAAACATCAGCCTACCATATTTTTAAACAAAATATTTCATTACACTGAGGTATTTTTCCCATGCCCACATTAGAATGAAAAATGGATTTGTGTCTTTTAGTAAACCTGTTCTCTCATCTCCTGCTTGGCACATCCAGTAGATCTCACCCCTGCTAACATCACTCCTCAAGACTTTCAGCACAGTTGGTTCCAGGCAATCAGTGAATCGTATCATGAAGGGCAAGTGTCATTTGCAAATTCAAGAGTAAACACAAGTGAGATTGGCTTAACATCTTCTCATTTTGGCAGCACAGAGTTTTCTCTCTACTTGCTGCCTTGATTGGACCCCTATCAGTAGAATTAACCCATATTTTATTCACTGCTCATTCGCTAGCTGCTCCTGGCAGCTACTGTAACAAAGGCACTATTAATAAGCTCTCTTCCATGAATGCTTCAGACATTGGTCTCAAGCCTGCTTTAAGCATTTACCCCCATCTCATGTGTTTTAAGAGGAGTTAACAAGAACCATGACGTGGTGTGGAGCAGGCAGCAAAGCACACAGAAGAGGACTGCCCATATTATGAATTCTCAAGGTACTGTGCCATTCCCCAGCACTGGGAAATGGCAGAAAGGGCAGATTTTTTGCCAATGACACGAATCAAATGTAATGAAGAGAAAATTAAAATTGGGTTTTTTTCTTTCTTGATTTTTCTCCCAAACTGCAATTCACTGCTGAATATGGAGTAACTGTACCTGAATTCAGATATAATATTTTATTGGAAACACTTAAAAAAAAATCTCAGTATTGACAATGAAATGCCAGATCCATTTTCCTGCCAGCCTGCTTTATGTGTGGTCTTCCATGTAAGTTGAGACATTCAATGATTAAAAATTTAGGTTTGTATCTGGTATTTTCATACTGGCAGGATGAGTTTGAAACAAGAAAGGCTTCCCAATGGCTGTCTCATGTGTTCACAACAGCAAAGGGCATATCCTGTATCTTATATCCCTAAAAGCATACTGTTTGAGTCCAGTTTCATCAGCTGGATAAAAACTTTATTCATCTTCTTTCAGGTGAATACATAGTTTCTCTGTACAGATACCATTTTATTGACTTGGATTCAAGCCACTCTATCAATCCATTGACGGGCAAAACAGCGAGAAATTACTTACTGAGACAGAGCTTGTGACTGACTCCCAGTTGGTTTCTGAGGCTGCATGCTGGAAATCATCCTAAGGGGAGAAACACACAGGAAAAATCACCATTAAGGCAATATCCTAAATTAATTACAAAATCTAAAAAATTTTTCAGCATTCAACATCTGTCACTTTTTCTAACCCTTTTTAATGCAAAAGTCCCTTGCTATGTGTCACTCCTCAATAAAGCTACTTCCATTCAGGTTCCTCCCTTTTCAATGTTTATAAAATCCTTGTGAGCTTGCTTGGACAAGAATGGATGAATATTATTATTGTTATTGTTATTATTATTATCATCATAATCAACCACAATAACAGTAATAATAATAAGACCAATCTGATATATGCTGCTTTGCACAGGAAGACCTAATCTGGTCAAGGACATTACATTCATCTGCCAACATAAATATTAAACAACGTCTCTGTATGTCTACAACCAGAGTATTAATGCAGTTGCCAAACTGATCTGTTGGAAAGAATTTGAACATGCTAATTCCCTGGTACTACTTAGTCCAGGTGAAAAGCAGGATAATCTAATCCATCTCAAAAGTAGTCCTAACATGACTGTACTGCTTTTGGTACTTGTGCTGAACAGTACATGATCATCGCTGTACTATGTTTTGTTACATCAAAAAACCTAGCCACAGTACATTGCCATTAATGGTGTCATTGCATAGAATCTCTGGCATTTATGATTAATTTGAGCACAAGGATCGGATTCATAACATCAATCTTTGGACAACTATGAAGCCAACATCTAAGCAAGCCTTTTTTCCATTTACAATCAACTAAACCTGCCATTTCTGGGGTGCAAATCATCTGATCTGGGTTAGAAGTTTTACTTGGGATGACAGTGCACCCTGAAAATGCATTTTTGTCTCCATTGTCTCTATAAAGGGAACCTGGAAGGCTGATCTTAGAAATAGATGTGAAAACTGTAGATATTGACATGTGGTCACCTAAATCCCAATCCACTTGTCTGACCAGTGATGAGCAATCACTACTTAAATAATGAAGAAGCCATTTCTTTAATCTTTTGGCAGCTTTATTCATTTCCAATTGGAATAACTAAACTGTGAAAAATGGAAAAAAAAAAAGGCAGCATTATAGAATGGTTATTAAACACACACATGCAGTGAATAGCTAATGATCAGCATGAATATGCAGGTAAGGAAAGTGGACTGAAGTGACAGCATACCAAGATTTTAATTTCTAAAAATAGAATATATGATGAAAAGGTTTAAGGAAGATGGATCAATGCCTTTGCTCACAATTTCATACTGAGTCAGTATCTGATAAGCTTTTTTTTAAGCTGGCAAATGAAAGGGGAAATGGAAAGGAAACTGCACAGCTGATGTGCAGTTGCTAGACTTGATCCTGTATTGCACCATACATATATATATATATATGCATATATTAAATTATTTCTTAGGAATGGAAAACTGAAAATTGATCTCATAATTTGCTAATTTGCCAATAAAAGGTTCTTTTACCGAAGAAGGAAGAGAGCTGCTTTCAGATCCAGAATCAATATACTTCGTTTTTTAATGTTTTCCATTTGCTATAGAAAAATATTTAATGCCTCAAAAGTTACAGGATTGTTTATTCAAAAATGTTACTGTTTTTTCTTCTTCAGTATTTAAGATTAAAAGAGATTGAGAAATCCCAACCCTAAGTGACCACTGAAGCTGCAGAGCAATAAAAATATTTATAACTATGTGGTCATTTTCTGCTAAGAATACAGAAGAAAAACTGGTGAAATTTTCAATGCAGATTTTTTTCTTAAAAATAGTAAAGAGATCTGAAAGCTATAATCAGATCATACACCATTCTGAATATGCCTCCCTTGGCCACATTCTCTACACGTTTGGTTGCCCAGTTTTCGACAAGTAACAATTTAAATTAAATAAAAATGTATTTGAAAAGCTTATGAATCCTCTGGTAAAGTCTGCCAGTTGCAGAACTTGGAAATAATTTCCTCTCTGTCATTAACTTCCATTTAGCACTTCCAGGAAAAAAAAGTGGCATTGAGTTCTAAAGCATTATTTTAAAACAGAAACAATTTGCTTCACTGAATGTTTTCAGAAGACTGTAGTCTTATGTTCAAAGGGATGGGCCACTTTTTTATCTAAATGTGGATATCTAAACTGTTTCTTTAGTCTGTGATTCTTTGAGTTGGTTCATGCCAGGAAACCCCTCCAAAATCCTGATATAGACACGTGTACCACCTGCTTCTTGGATCTCAAACCTGATGACTGCACATTTCAACTCTGATTATATTCAATCTGCATAAACTATTCACAACTCTATGGCTTTGTTCCACCACCACTCAAGGCAGCTGCAGTCATTCTTGGCTTCGCGGTGCTTTCAACCTCTACAGTTTGGAGATTATTATTATCTATGGCTTCTGCTCGCAGCTATTTCAAATAATAATATCAAAGTGGTTCTCATCATTACAAAACCCTCTCCTCCTTCTCACCATCGCCCCTAGCAGAAGCTGAAGGACAAATCTATTTTCAGTGCTATTTGTTCAATTCATTCTACCTTGTTCATGTGAATTTGCCTGTGCTTTGGCTGTTGTTTTGCTGGTGCTTCTTCATTACTTGAAACAACATTAAAACTTTTAGTTCAAACATTAAAAAAACCACCAAAATTCTCATATGTTTTCTTACCGAATCAGGAACAACAGGGTGGTAATAATTTGGTGACATCACCTTGACAACAGTGCTTCTATTTTTGCATTTGTGTCATGGTAACATAAAAACTTTACTAGAGACTTCAGCAAAGCATTGAATTAATTGTTCTACAAGCAGCAAAAATACAGGCAAAACAACAGAACTACCAATCACCTTCTGATAGCAGCTACACTCAGTGAAGAAAAATTACTTCCAAACATCAACTTCCAAAATTACACCTCAGCAAGACAAATTCTGAGTCAGTCCCCAGAGTTAAATATGTATGGACATTGATGCATTGTTCCTGGCTCTGTTTTGGACAAAGAAAAGCTACTCTCTTCTTTGCAGACAGACTTTATAGCCTGTCTCTCACCATTGATGGCCACTAAGTGACAAGGAGTCACAGGGAATAATCCCTGTTTCACCCAGGTCTTTCCAAGTGGAGATCATGATGCAAAATCACAGCTATCAATGATATATGAGACTGCAGAGCCAGATAGCACTGGTTCCTGAGGAGGATGATTTGCACCCATGACCTGCAGCAGCACAGGCTCTGCTGTGTTGAAGCCATGGGGCTTGGTAGGGTCATTAGGGACTGAGAGACATCAGGAAAACACCCAGGATGTGGCTGGGAAGCTTTCCAGTTGGAGAAGCATATTGTCATGACTCACTTTGTTGTACCACCCATGTGGCAAAACATGCGAGTCCTCTCAGCTATGCTGAGTTACTGCCTGGTCCTCAAATTAAAAGCAAGAAGCACTGTGATTCTTCGCCTTTTTTACATGTTTCTTCACTGAAGATTAGTCTTTTGTCATCTTGGTGCATGACTACTGTGAGGAAGGATGCCTGGGATAGGCAATAACCACTACAGGATGGGCACAACACCCAGACAGCTCTCTCCAGTGCAAAGAAGCAGCCTCACATCTCTATAAGCTTCTCTGTCAATTATTTTTTCTTAATCTGCAGTTTTCTGGGGTGATTGGACTAGTTTTGGTAAAAAAAATGTTCGTCTGACAAAACAACTACAAGCTATTGCTCATGAAAGCTGAGGCAATGCTCTCCACTTCAGTGAGTGGGAGAGGTTCTCAAAGGAGTTGTGATTAAGAATTAGATAACAGGCAGTACCCTGACTGATGATTTGGGCTCACTGGTTCAGTAAGGTCCTCTCCTAAAGGAGCCACCTTCTCTACTGTACCCTTCTACTCAGAAGACAAGTGAGGGAGAAAGGGTCAAAATGCAGGCATGGTCTTGGGGAAATAAGCATGAGAAAGAATGAAGTAAACTAAGAAAAAATTAAGACAGAGAAGCTGAAGTGTTGAGCTCTGCCTGTGGTCATCTCATTTGTGGTATTTAGACACCATAATTATAAGTGATCCAAAAGAAAAGCAGTTTCTAGAAATTTACAGAAGAATGGGGCTAATGGATGTACTGAGACACACAGATGATCCTGCAGAAACAAATCATGGGTGAAATGGAGCATGTTCAAAGAGGTCCAGTACAGAAACAAAAGGAAGTTGTGAGCTCTCCCTGGAATGAAAGAATTAGGGATGAAGGACAATGGAAGGTCTGTAAGGAAAAATTAGAGTAAATCGCAACTTGAAGAAATAAAGAGACAAAATTATCCTAACATTTAGGTTAATAAACAGAAACTCGATACTCATAGTTGAAAAACAGTCAACATGTATCTATTGCATTCAGAGTTATGTGCAGACAGGTGGCTGATAAGCAGATAAACCTGTATTTGTATATAGTAACAATAAAATATAATAACCTGTAAATTATTTTTTTTCCTGCCACAAGCAATAATACCTATATTCTCACTAACAATTATATTTACAGGTATTACATTTCCTATACAAAGAGACACATATTTCAAGCAAATAAACTCCAAACTCAGAACATGCTGTATAACAGAAATGGTGTTATATAAGTTAGAGGTAAAAGAAAAATCATAGTTCCATTCAAAAAAGTGCTGTGATACACATTCAAGTTTGTACAATTCAACTGATTAGATTTAGTTTCTCATGCAGCATTTTAGGACACTCCAATTTCTATAAATATAAGCATATAGATTTACACTTTGAAATAACTGTTTCTTCTACTATACTTTCATTTTGTCACATTGCTGGGTTTTAATTTAGTATCAGAATGATATTTATTAACAGCTCCTAAGGATGCTGAAAGGTACCAACAGCAGGCTACTATGAAGCCAGAGGCTGCATTTTTCTTACAGTAATGGTCAAACTGCTGCTTCTCTGTTCAGCTCTGGTGACCAGACATTAATAAAAATAAAAGTTACTGAATTTGGAGAGTGAGCAACAATGACAGCGCATAATCTGGGAATCATGCCTTGCAATGAAA